AATGGTGACCATGTAGATTTGGCTTGTTATTCCTGTTTGTTCTTTGCATCTGTTAAAATGTCTCCATTATGTTGTATGGACTGATAACTTCCATTTCAGTGTATCTGAGGAAGTATGCATGCACATGAAACCTCATACCTTGAATAAAACTTTGTTGGTCTTAAAGGTGCCACAGGACTCAAACTTTGTTCTACTTTCCTTGTTGATATTCTTGAACATGGCACACATTATTAAACAACGCAACAATTAAAACAGCTTTTGAAATTTTTACCACACCAGTCAGAAGAGGGGTGTTGCTCCCAAACAGATGTCAACATGACTGCAGCCTTACCCTCACTCACCCATGATACATCAAGGAATCCTTACAGGGTTGCCACCAATGTTCCCTCTAAGCTGTGGAGTCTTGTGAGCAAAAATTCTACTTTGTGAGCTACTGGCATTAAAGTTGTGAGTGAGTGATTCGACTACTGCATAAATTAGTTTGTTCTGGAGCCATCCTTTGTGAGCTAAGACAAAAATGTGTGAGCCAGAGGCTAAAAAAACTGTGAGCTAGCTCACACTAACTCAGCTTAGAGGGAACACTGGTTGCCACCTTTGGGTTGAGAAATTCCTGGAGACATGAAGAAGAAGAAGAGATTGGATTTATACCCTACCCTTTACTACCCAAAGGTGTCTCAGAGCGGCTCACAAACTCCTTTCCCTTCCCCTCCCCACAAGAGACACCCTGTGATGTGGGTGGGGCTGAGAGAACTCTTGACAGAAACTGCTCTTTTTTTCAAGAACAGCTGTGCCAGAGTTATGGCTTGCCCAAGGTCATCCAGCCAGGTGCAAGTGGAGGAGTGGGGAATCAAACCCGGTTCTCCCAGATTAGAGTCCACGCAGGGGCTTCAATGGGGTATAATGCCATAGAGTCCACTCTCCAGATCAGCCATTTTCCTCAGGGGAACTGATCTCTGGAATCTGGAACTCATCTGTAAGTCTGGGAGATCCCCAGGCCCCACCTGGAGGGTGGCAACCCTAGTATGAACCATGATTAAAAAGAGAACCTCCCAGTTCAGAAGCACTATATCTTTCAGTGCCAGATCCTGGAGGGAAAGCGAGGCTGGGACATCCAGGTGGCCTGGCACTGCTGCCCTAAATAGAGGAGTTGACTTCAGCAGATTTAGACAGGTGTAACTGTGTAGTTCAGCAGTTCGAGACCCGAGTGCCGCATGAGGAGTGAACTCCCATCTCTGGTCCCAACTCCTGACTACCTAGCAGTTTGAAAGCAAGAAACTGCAAGTAGATAAATAGGTACTGCTTTGGTGGGAAGGTAACAGCGTTCCGCCACATGACCACGGAGAAGTCTTCGGACAGCGCTGGCTCTTCGGCTTGGAAACGGAGATGAGCACCGCGCCCTAGAGTCGGATTCGACTGGCTTTGGAGCAAGGGAAACATTTACCTTTAACTGTTTAGGCTTGCACTACAAGTGCCACAGACTTTAAGCTCTTGCTTCCTTTTGGTCTAAGACAGCTACATCTCTTAACTTTGGTTTTAATTTTTCTGTGTGGGAAATGGTCTCTAAGAATGTAGTCATCCCCGCGGCACAACATAAAGCCTCGCTTTCTCTTGCCTTTTAGGCAATCCAGGCTCGGGAGCGGGCAACCTAAAGCGGGGGATTTCCTCTCCCCGAGGCACGTGCGCCACCGCTCCCACCCCCTGCAACTGCCCGGTCTGTCAGGGCTTCGGCGCGTCCTTCGGCGCATGCTCGGGTAGAGAAAGGAGCCCTCTCTCCTTCAGCCACTTACCCCAAACCGTCTCTCCCCCCCCCTCTCGCCAGACTTGGGCGGAGCCGCCCGCGGGCTGCCTCCGAGGTGAAAGGCGACTTTATAAGGAGGGCGGGTGGCGCCGGCAAAATTAGTTTGTTGGTGTTTGGGGCGGTAGCTGCGAGGGGCAAGCGGGAGCAGAGGTTGCCGAGAGCCCGCCCGCCCGAGCGATGGAGCCCAGCATGGATGTGAGTGCGGCGCGGTCAGGTTCTGGGCTGCAGGCGAGTGAATGGAAGGCGGGCGACGGAGGGCCACATTCCCAAGGGTGCGATTTCCCCGGGAGCGGCCCCGCGCCGAGCCATGTGCGCCTTGTTTTGCAAGGTGCGCGCGGCACAGCGTGGGTCCCTTCGCCACGAGCGAGCCCGGGCGGCGTGCAGGCTTTTGCACGCAGCTCCGAGTTCCAGTCTGCAACAATCATCCTTCGCTTCGGGGGGCGATCCGCTTACACACTTGCCTGCTTCCAAGAGGCAGACGAGCCTGTGTTAGGACGCTACTGGCTGTATTTTTATTTTGTTTTGTTTTATTTTTAAAAGCGGATTTGCGTTGCACCCCAGCATAACAGCGCTCTGGGGAGATGCTTGCGCGCTGGGTGTGAGCGGCAGCCGCGCCGTCTGCTCCCGAAGAGACTGACTTGAAGTCAAGTCGCCCAACTTTAGGCTGCAGAGCGTTGCGTGGGCTGAAGGTTCTGAGCTGCAGATCGGTCCCGATCCTAAACAGATTTCCTTGGAGAGAAAGGGTCCGTGCGACCGGGGGGGGGGGTTAGAGAGCGTTTGCAAGCCGTGAATGGAGCGCAGAGGTCGCCTCCGCGCCTCTGCTTGCAGATTTAAGAGAGAGAGAGGACGCGAGCGGTGCGTTTGGCTGGCTGTGATTGCTCTGTTGACATACCCGCCCTTGCTGTGCGCGCTTTGCAGCGAGACGGTGGCGGCGGCGGGCAGATGCAACTGGCTGCCCCCTTTCGTTTGGAAATGCTCCGTGAAGGCCGGCGCGGTTGATCGCATGATTCTCTCCGGCTTAACGTTTTTGTAGGGTTTGCGGGTCTGATGCGCGCGCTTGAAATAAGGAGAGTCCAGAGTCCAGACTGACCGTGGGAAAAGTTAAAAATTGGACCAAGGCCGTTTAAGCGCTCATCCGCTCCCCACCCTATTGCTAAATATCCCCCTAGATGGGGCCTGTCCCTCTGTTGCGTTACTAGAAAACCAGAACCGTAATTGTAGAACTCCTCGAAGTCAAGAGGAATTGGGCTACTAGCTGCCGGGCAACAGGACTTGCTTCCCAGAGCCAATCATAGATGGTGGCTTCTAATCAAATAACCCACATGATGGATTGGTATTCTCTGGCTGGGATGTCTAGTGCATCAGATGGCGAGGGGCTGGCACAGGCGTCCTGTTCATAATGGAATGACATTTGCAGGGTGGTTTTGGTCTAAACTTCAACAAGAGTTTGGGCACTTTAGAGCCGCATGTTTAGACATGTTGAGCAGCAGAGGGTCGGTCTGAGTTTCGACATGAGCCCTTGTGTCACCTTTTGTGTTGCTTGGGTGTCTTACTGGGTCGGAATAGTACAATGGATGTTTGTTCTGATCCAGTATGACAGCTTTGAATGCTTTCCCCAAAGTTTGGTCTGAGCTGTATTGAATGGGTCTGCAAGACCCGTTGGGAGGCGTCTTGAGAGTTCCATTAACAAAGAGAAAATCTCAGGTCCCCAAGGGGACAGCCAGGGGGCCACTCCCTCTGCTGAGTCTCTCCACTGCCTGCATGTTCAAACGGCTGGTGGTTTCCTGAGCTGTTTCACTTGTTCCCCTTCTTTCTTTTTGCTGTTGGCGCGCACAGTTGAAAAGTTAGTTTCCCTCCTCCTCGTGAGCAGTCCCAAGGAAGAGCAGCCCGCAGAAGGCAAAAGCCTTTACTCACTGAGGTTTCCTCTGATCACCAGTCAGCTGAAACCACTTTGCCAGGCTCCTGCCACTGGGTAGCGATCCACTTCGGGTGGCTTGTTTAAAGTTTAGCTTACTGTGGCTTTTCTTTACAGGCCTTTCCCCCCACCTGGGTAGGCCCATCACTCTTTTAATCCTTACAGCCAAGGCAGTGCACGTGGCTCCCAGTCACAGCCCCCAGTTGGAGCATCATTGTACGGTGTTCATAAATTCATCGTCAACTTTAAATGCTAAAAACTACCTTTTAGTCTTCCAGTGTTGTGAAGAGAGGTTGGAACCCTTGTTGGATTTGGGGGCGTGTCAGACTTTTCCTTCACAGATTGCACTTTCATCTAGCGAAGCCCACAAAAACCACAAATGGGTTGCCTGGGTGTGTGCTTTCGCAACATATGTGCAGAGAGCAGCAATTGGCCAAGCGAACTTAAACCATGAGCTAAGTACATGGAGTGGTCACATTGCACCATCTGGGCTCAGTTTTTGGCTTGTGTGAAGCACAATCTATGCAAGGAAGTCCTTACATCTGAAGCATCTTTTAGACCGCTGAAGGAGTGTGAGCAAAAATCGAACCTATCAACGCTTTTCACTCCTTGTCCCTGTTGCCCTTCAGTATCTCGAGATGCTCACCTTTCCTTCCTAGTTTTTAGCCTGCCCACTATTGTTACTCTTTTGTGATTACAGAATTAGGAATTAAGCACAGAACTGTAGCCCTCGGTACTGAAGTGTCACAATGGCAAGGCATCGATAATAATGGATCGTTTCTTTTTTGTCATCAAAAAAATGTAGTCATGGGGCCTAATTTCCAGCACTCTCATTTCCTTAAAGAAGCTAGTGAAAAGTAATCTAAATTTGGAATTTACAGTTTCTGTCTGCAGAACAACCCTTTGAGATGAGCATTTGTACTTACTATTCCCTTATAGCTAGAGAAACTGGATTTGTAAGTCATTACCTTGACAAGGAGTCCTTTTGGAACTCAAGCCTTATCAAGTGGAATATTTATTACATTTTTTTAACCCTACTGTTTCTTCTTTCAAGGCGCTCGTAGGTGGCTGTTTCCCATTTCGCCCGCACAAGCAACCTTGGGTGGAAAGCTAGACAGAGGGAAAGTAAGGTTCAGGGCTGTTTGGTATGCCTCATAGCTCTCAAACTTGGTCTCCCCAATCCAAATGCACTATATTTCAGCACACTGGTTCCTAGACTTTCTAAGCACAAGCCCTGGACCCTCTTCCTCTGTCATCTTCTAACTGTTTTCTTTTGTTCAATTCCAGATGTCTTCCGAAGTCCTGATCTTTCTGTCAGAGAACAGTACAGATGAGCCAGGGTCCGGTGATGTGGGGGACTACCAAGAGGTGTGTTTGGAGCAAAACAATGCTGATTTCAACCGGATTTTCTTGCCAACAATTTTCTCCATCGTTTTCGTGATGGGAATCATTGGCAATGGCTTGGTCATTGTCGTCATGGGCTACCAGAAGAAGCTCAGGAGCATGACCGACAAATACAGGCTACATCTCTCCGTGGCTGACCTTCTCTTTGTCATCACTTTGCCCTTCTGGTCTGTGGATGCTGTCATCGGCTGGTACTTTGGGAACGCCTTGTGCAAAGTGGTCCATATCATCTACACCGTCAACCTCTATAGCAGCGTCTTGATCTTGGCCTTTATAAGCTTAGACCGCTACCTGGCGATTGTGCATGCTACCAACAGCCAGAGACCTAGGAAGTTGTTGGCGGAGAGAATTATCTACGTAGGGGTTTGGCTACCAGCTGTGCTGTTGACTGTGCCTGATATGATCTTTGCAACAACGAGTGAGGATGGCGGGAAATTCGCGTGCCAGCGATTTTACCCTCATAATGACTGGCTGATTTCTTTCAGATTTCAACACATTTTGGTTGGGCTTGTCTTGCCCGGTCTTATCATACTGACTTGCTACTGCATTATCATCTCTAAGCTGTCGCACTCAAAAGGCCATCAGAAACGCAAAGCTTTGAAGACCACCGTCATCCTTATCCTCGCCTTCTTTGCCTGCTGGTTACCTTACTACATTGGCATCAGCATAGATACCTTTATCCTGCTTGAAGTCATCAAGAATAGCTGTAGCTTTGAGGCAGTGGTGAACAAATGGATCTCTGTCACAGAAGCCCTAGCATTTTTCCACTGTTGCCTGAATCCCATCCTTTACGCTTTTCTGGGTGCCAAATTCAAGACATCGGCCCAGAATGCTTTGACCTCCGTCAGCAGAGGATCAAGCTTGAAAATCCTTTCCAAAGGCAAACGGGGACACTCTTCAGTCTCAACAGAGTCCGAGTCTTCCAGTTTCCATTCTAGCTAGCAGAGTTTTTCTCCTGCTGTCTTGTAAAGATTTGGGACTCTTTTTTTAATCCATTTGGCAAGATTTTGGAGGAGGAGAAACCCCTCTCAAGATCACGTACTACAAGTTTATTCCCAGTTGGAATTGCATATACTTGCTTATAATGTTTTGTTGGATTTAATGGGTGTATTTATTTAAAAAAATGGACATGTTGACCAGAGAGTGTGTTTAGGCAGGACCTGTGAATAAATGAGTAGGTGAGAAAGTTTTGCTACTTGTCTGTCAGACAGTGAAGATGTTGGAACTAAAATACTTGTAGAGCACAGCGTAGTTGCTGTGCCTGGGTTCTTTGTAAATGAAGAGTTTCCAACATACCCGTTTGAAAGAAGGCTTCATCTCTCTGGGTGTTTAGGACTCTGTCCTACATTGCATAAGCTGTTTTGGTTTACACTAGTTGAAAATTTCATTGTATTCAATGGATGCAGCCTGCAAAACACAGTGGCAAAAACACATTGGATCTAATGCAGCTGGCATGCACCCAGTGGCACTTACAACCAAAGTCTTTTCTATCAATGTTTTTTCAATAACAAACTGGCTTGTAAACCTCTGCCTTGTAAAATTGTAAATAAAATCATGTGATTAAATCTGTTTGGTCTTTTTTGCTTTATCTTTCTTTGTTTTTATTTTGGATTGCAGTTATGCACTGATTTTCGGTGAGTTCATAGAAGTAATCCAGTGGCAGTCCCCCACATCCCCAAACCTTTCTTTTTTAAAAAAAATATTTTGAACAGTTTTCACAACAAAATGAACAACACAACAGCATTTCTAACTAGCATAATTACAGTGAGCAAATCTGAGTAACAAGCTTTATGAAGTTTGCATATACTATGCGAAAAGTAGGTAACAAATTTGAGTTAGCAACAATTATATCGACCAAATTATCAAATAAGTTCAATATGACTTCGTACACAGTATATTTAAGGAGCTGCGGTGGCTCAAGTGCTTAAGACGCTGAACTGCAGGCTGTGGAAGGTCAGTAGTTCAGCAGTTTGAGACCTGGGTGTGCCGCATGATGGAGTGAGCTCCCGTCTCTAGTTCCAGCTCCTGCCAACCTAGCAGTTCGAAAGCAAGAAATTGCAAGTAGATAAATAGGTACCACTTCAGTGGGAAGGTAACAGCGTTCCATGTGCCTTGGTGTTTAGTCATGCCGGCCACATGACCACGGAAACGTCTTCGGACAGCGCTGGCTCTTCGGCTTTGAAACGGAGATGAGCACCGCAGCCCTAGAGTCGGACTCGACTGGCTTTCGAGCAAGGGAACCTTTACCTTTTTACTCAGTATATTCACCCTCTAAGCAACCGCGGGAGGATCCCCCCTGCACAGAATAAGATTGACCTAGCGGGATCAGGTAAGTAGATTCAATTCAGAAATAGATTAATTTATCATAATAGGGATTTTAGGTAACATCTCCTTTTCTGAAAGATATGGTTATTATAGGATACCACCAATGTTCCCTCTAAGCTGTGGAGTCTTGTGAGCAAAAATTCTGCTTTGTGAGCTACTGGCATTGAAGTTGTGAGCGAGCCATTTGGCTACTGCAGAAATTAGTTTGCTCTGGAGCCGTCCTTCCTGAGCTGAGACAAAAATCTGAACTGGAGTCTAAAAAACTGAGCTGGCTCACACTAACTCAACTTAGAGGGAACACTGGATACCACACTTCCATAAATCTGTCACAACTCTTACATGACAAGAGACTGAGAACTGTACGTTGTCATTTTACCCAGAATAAAGTAGTCCCATTAACGTATTCTCCAGGATTGTATTGTAGGCACGGTCTTATTTTCCCACTGCATCGCTATTACTGATCGTGCCACTTCCAGTATTAAAGAGATCATTTCTGCCTTTGTTTCTGTATCCCCAAGATGAGGATTTGGGGACCCTCCAGAACAGGCTGCCGTAGGGCACAGGAGGCTGCAGCAATCGAGGAACTCTGCAGGAGTCTCCCACACTCTTGTCTGGGTAGACCTTGAATTCATGGAGCACTCTCTGCTTGCACAAGAGTGGGAGGAGGATCCCTGTGGAGTGCCCCAACCTGCTTCAGCACCCCATGCCGTGTTGGGGTGCTGTCTTGTAGGGTCACCTAACCACAACCATGGCAAGGGTGGAGGCCACGGGGCTGCTGGCATGCCAATAGGACTTGTTTCAGTGAATTTCCATTCGACCCAGCCCCTTTTTAAACGATTTAAGCATGACTGCAGATTGAATCAGATATTACATGTTTTAGAGACAAAGGTGCACCCCCCCCAGAGGATTTTTTGAACTGGTAGATACCTTTCATGGCATGTAATACATGAACATATATACAGCTCTCTTCCCTGTGATCATGATATCCCAGGGGGGAAAAAATTATTCAGGAAAGCTGGTTCAGTTCATGCGCACTACACCGACTGGGAAATGTAAGGTCTGAAACAGCCCAGAGAAACAAGCACCCAAACTGAGGTCCCTATCCTGGTTTGAAAGCTGTGCTGATCAAACAGGTTGCTCAATTTTATTATAAAACAGTCACAGGGCTTTAAAGCTAAATAATTCTCCTTGCTCAAGAGAGACTTGGAGGGGGTGCCCTGCATAATCAAACAAACTGCTCCCTGTTTAGAAGGAGATGGATGGTATGCTTTGCTGTTCACAGAACCTGGCAACAGTACTGTAAAACTGACCACTGTGCCTGTATGCTCATCTCCCACGACCCATCTCTGTTTTCTTCCACCTACCTCTGTCTTCTTTCAAACCGTGGTTCATTACTTCTGGCAGCATCTGGACAACTGCAGAGTCCCAGGTCAGGAAGAGCACAACACTTCCTGAGCCAAGAAGGATGCAGTGGGGCTGTTACAGGTACATTCACTTTCTTACCTGCAAAAGGCATGACAGCAGTCAAGGAGATAAGAAGCTGTCTTCAAGCTGGGAATGGATACTTCTCACCCCAGTGCAAGTAGGCAATTACCTAATTGCACTTCTCCTTTGACTTTGGAACATGTGTTTTTCTTGTACCACGTACAGTAGCCATCTTTGCTTCCGTTAAATCCATTGTGTCAGCTGCTGGAAACTAAATGGAGTGGAAAGTTGTCTGTATTTGTAATAAACGTAAGAGTCAGAAAAATCTCCTTAAACCCCGTAATTTCCATGGAGATCATCTTGACATGAGAGTTTAATGGTTTTTAGCAAGCACACCTCATCTGATGAGCGTTTTTGCAGGTACTGTCTAATAGCTGAGTACAACAAACAAGACTGGTGAGCAGGACTCTTTGGAAAGGAAACTTCAGAGCAAAATATGCGTAGCAGAACACAGGGTTGCCCCTTTGCACTTTGTTAGTAAGTACAGGGAAAAGGAATTATTTCGCAGAACACAAAGCCTGCTTACTACTATATTGTGTAATGGCCATTAAGTTAGATTGCTAACATTCAATACCGAATTGGGGGGGGGGGGATAAATACACCAGAATGAAACCTCCATGTTCAGAGATTCCTACATACCAGATGTGGGGAAGACAAAGGAAAAAGGGTATTACCTTCATGCTCAGCATGTAAGCTTCCCTGCTGGCCACTGTTGAAACAGAATGCCACATTAGATGGAGCTTTGGCAAATGTGCTCCTACGTTGTTAAGGCAATGTGAAATCAATCCCCAGTGCCGCTATAATAGAATAACTGGAAATGATGTCTGGAAATACAGTTGGAAAGCTAATGCTGAAATATTTTGCTTCTTCCTACAAAAGGCCACATTTGTTTTCTGCATCTTCCATAGACATCCACCTGCAGTTCTGCATGCTTAAGATATCTTTTACCCACTTGGATTATGTATTTATTTTTTTATTTAATTCAATTTATATCCCACCCTCTCCGCCAAGGCAGGTTCAGGGTGGCTTACATTGAGAGATTAAGAAACAGTGACACACTTAGATGGCCAACTGTAGCCACTGGGCAATCTAAAAGAAACAGAAGCTCACTTAGCTCCACACTCTAACATTCTGAGTTCCCTGTGCTCCAGGATCACTAAATCACGCATTAGGAAACTGCCTCCACACAGAGTCCATGATGATATGGTTTTATGACATTAAAGGTGTTTTTGTTAGTCATTGTTCAGGAAATGATTTTAGAACGTTGTCAAGCATAGTCCAAAGGCCATCCCTGTGTAGGTTTTTCACAAGAAGGGAAACATTGCTTATGTGAATCACCATTTTTCTACTGGATACGTCAAAACTTCCATTCTTACAGAACTGCATAAAATGCAGGGTTAACATAAGAGACGCCAATGTTGGATCAGGCCAAAGGCCCATCCAGTCCAACACTCTGTGTCACACAGTGGCCAGAAATACCAGTGCCATCAGGAGGTCCACCCGTGGGGCCAGGACATTAGAAGCCCTCCCACTGTTGAGCCCCCCCCAAGCACCAAGATGACAGAGCATCACTTGCCCCAGAGTCCCTATCTATACCTTGTGGCTAATAGCCACTGATGGACCTCTGCTCCATATGCTTATCTAATTCCCTTTTGAAGCCGTCCATGCCTGTAGCCGCCACCACTTCCTGTGGCAGTGAATTCCATGTGTTAATCACTCTTTGGGTGAAGAAGTACTTCCTTTTATCCGTTCTAACCCGACCGCTCAGCAATTTCATTGAGTGCCCACGAGTTCTTGTATTGTGAGAAAGGGAGAAAAGTACCTCTTTCTCTACCTGCTCTATCCCATGCATAATCTTATAAACCTCAATCATGTCACCCCTCAGTCGTCGTTTCTCCAAGCTAAAGAGCCCTAAGTGCTTTAACCTTTCCTCATAGTTTTTGTTGTTGTCATACATGGCATGATGGGTGTACATAAACTGGGAGTACACCACAAAGTGTCTGATATGGAAGTTCTTGGGGTATAATCTCAGTCTGCGTGAGAAGCCGGCCCTGTTGAAAGGCCCACAGAATTCTTTCATGCTCCTACCAGTGTGATCAGCTCACTGTGTGAACTGAGCGTGCATCCTGAAA